CTCCACCCCAGACGTAGACAACCCAAGAACCTGTATTTTGCAAGCCACCAGGCGACTGGAAGTCCCACCGGGCTCTGAGCACTTCTGCTCTCGCCTCTGCGTTCACAGGAGGCCCGAGAGTGTGCATTCCAGCATGCTCGCAGGTGACGCGGAGACTGTTGGTCACACACCAGGCATGAGTGGACCAGCTGTACGTAACAGTGCAATGTGACATGAAGATGTGTGCCGAAAACTGTGGCCTCTGCTGTTCTTGTAAACATTGTGTATTTATTTATTTGTTTAAAAAGAAAGATGTAGAGACAAAGATCTCCTGTCTGCTGTTTACTTCTCAGGTACCCACATAGCCAGGGCTCGGCCAAGTTGCAACTAGAAGCCTAGAACTCTTAAGTCCCTTTTTGGGTTAGGGCGTGCAGGGAGAGGTACTGAGGCAGCACTCCCTATCTCCCAAGGTGCACATGAGCCAGGTGCTGGCTGGTATGGAGTACGAGCTGGGACTCGAAGCCAGGAACTCTGATAGGAGATGCGGGATTCTCAGGCAGTAACTGCCGCACTAAATGCCCTTTCCCATAGTTGTTCAAGTAGGGGGGTTGGATATGGCTGTACAGAGCACACCACGGTGTGGTCAAAAGGAAGGAAACCGGCACCAGCTCTGTGTTTCAACAGGCTGATCCTCTGCCTGCAAGCGCCAGCATCTTGCACAGGCACTGGTTCGTGTCCCAGCTGCTCCACTTCCCATCCAGCTCCCAGCTTGTGGCCTGGGAAAGCAGTAGAGGACGGCCCAGAGCCTTGGGACCCTGCACCCATGTGGGAGACCTGGAGGAGTTTCTTAACTCCTGGCTTTGGGTCTGCTTAGCTTGGGCCATTGTGGCCATTTGGGAAGTGAACCAGCAGATGGAGGATCTTTCTGCCTTTCCAATAAAAACGAATAAATAATAAATCTTTTAAAAAGATAAAAAGGAAGGAAGATGAGCAATAAGCAGCATTAAAGAAGAATCTCCAGAAGCACTATTCAGGAGAAAAGGAGATTTTTACAAAGACTCTTTTGGTAGATTTGATTGCATTAAAACTAGGGGTGGAAAACTTCTTGCTGGGGCATTAGAAAGATACTTAGGCATTTTAAAATGTGACTTTGATGCACCTGCTTTTCCTTTTTTTTTTTTTTCTTTTTTTAAAGAATTATTTATTTGCATTAGAAAATCAGATTCACAGAGAGAAGAGACAAAGATCTTTCATCTTTTGGTTCACTCCCCAGATGACTGCAACAGCCGGAGATGAGCTGATCCGAAGCTAGGAGCCAGGGGCTTCTTCTGGGTCTTCCATGAGGGTGCAATGTCCCAAGGCTTTGGGCCACCTTTACTGCTTTCCCAGGCTACAAGCAGGGAGCTAGAAGGAAAATGAAGCAGCTGGGACACAAACCAATGCCCATATGGGACACTGGCAGTTGAACCACCGTGCCAGTCCCAATGCACCTGCCTGCTTTTCAACTTCCCAGTATGTTTTTAATTACTTGAATATTTAGGGGAAAAATAACCATTAAAATACGCATAAAGGGTAGCTGTTGTGGCACTTTGGCTTAAACCAGTCCTTGCTTAGAATGCCGGCATCCCTATCAAAGTGTCCAGGTTCGAGTCATCCTCCTCTAGATCCAGCTTCCTGCTGTTGTGCACCTGCCACCCACGTGGGAGACCCGGATGGAGCTCCCGGCTCCTGGCTTCACCCCAGCCCCAACCTTGGCTGTTGTGGCCATTTGGAGAGTAGACCACAAGAACACCTGCAGAGGATACGTATTTTCCTTTTACCGCGTGTCCCAGTGTGGCTTGACAGGGCACAGTCAGGGCCTGTGGTCGTGTCGAGTTTTGAGGATGTTTAGCTTTGATTCTTAACCATATGGCCTTCAGATGCTTTTTGTGCTGACTGGTAAGGTTTTTGTTCCCCAAGTGCATCACCGTCACCACTCAGCTCAGCCTGGCCCGAGTGTAGGCTCAAGAGGAAAGGTGGGGGTTTGTAATCCCACTGCCCAGGGAACCATAGCTTGAGCATCTCTCATCCGAGATGCAAAATCGGGAATGTTCTAGAATGTGAAACTTTGTTTTTTTTGGAGTGCCTATGTCCTAGCACCCAAGGCCATTCATGCAGCAGGTGGCAAGTAGTCAAAAGGCAGGTGTGCTGGCAGTGTTGTAGGAAATCCTCCTTGGGGCTGTGTGTCCAAGGGGCATGTGTGTGTGTGCGCATGCATAGATGAGTTTAGTCCAGTCCTGTGTCCTCTCTAATTTGTCGTAGCGTGAACAGGCAGATATTCCACAGCCCAGGGAAATCAAAAGGAAAGCTGAAATGCACCTGGGCTAGGGGACACTCAAGGTTGGGAGTTCCGTGGCGGGCGCTAGCCTCACCTCCGTGTCTGGGTTTGCTCTGCTAAGCTTAAGCTTCGTGTGTGTGTGTCTCCGGAAAGAGGTGTGCAGGGTCCGTGTCAGTGCACGTTGCTTCAGAATGAGAAGGCTTCCCATGTGCTCCTGTGGCAGCTTTTGAAACATTCACCTGCTTAGGCCACACCCACAGCAATTGAAATAGGCTTTTAAGTGTGTTTGTGCGTGTAGAGAATTTGTAGAAATGAAGAAATCCCAAGGACCTGTTGCCAAGTTAAGGCTGTGAGAAAGGAGGAAGTGCTTGGGGTAAAAGAGGGATCCTTTGCATTTAGATTTTTCTAGTTTTATTTTTTTTTCAGCCTTCATCCTGGGATATATGGCTTCCAGATCCAAAGGGTGATTGACTTTTCAAAAATAGATACATACAAACGGGCCCAGCATGGTGGCCTAGTGGCTAACGTCCTCGCCTTGAACACGCCAGGATCCCATATGGGTACCAGTTCTAGTCCCGGCAGCCCCGCTTCCCATCCAGCTCCCTGCTTGTGGCCTGGGAAAGCAGAAGAGGACGGCTCAAAGCCTTGGGACCCTGCACCTGTGTGGGAGACCTGGAAGAGAATCTGGGCTCCTGGCCATTGCAGTCACTTGGGGAGTGAATTTTCGGACAGAAGATATTTCTGTGTCTCCTCTCTCTATAATATCTGACTTTGCAATAAAGATAAATAAATCTTTATATATATACATTTATATATATATACATACACACACACAGAAATGAAGGTGCAGTTTCCTGGCTCCAGCCAAATGCTTGAAGTCCTGTTGCTTATGCAGAATGGGCAAGGGCTGCAGGGACTCCTGGGTGGCCCTGTTCCCTTGAGATTCTGGGGTGACCTGGGGGCCATGCACCTCTAGCATGATCTTCTTCTTCTCCCAAGGCCTCACATCCAGAGACAGGTGCTATGATGCCTCACTGGGTTTATTTCCCTGTACTGTTTAGAGGGCCATGATCTGCCTACAGCACGTGCTGCAGCCCCGTGGCCGATGTGCTCGGCCAGGCTCTCTTGACATTGGCCATGCGAGATTTAGACTCAGCGTCTTTGCTTCTGTCGCAGTTCTACTCCATCCCTTCCTGTGACGGTCAGGCTGTTAGAGCTGTGGTGCTGAAGATGAGCCGTGGCCGGAAGATGGCCCTGAGCTGGCCATTGTCCAAGGTCTCTGTCCTGCCACTAGCACACCTTGGCCTTGGCACAAGTCTTTCATCAGGGACTCTTCCATAACATTTGACCACCCAGGGGCTTTTGTTGCGAAGTGTGCATTCCAGATTCCCCTGGATGAGTCTTAGGAGAAAGGAGTCTAATAGTCAGCTTTTCATCATACTGCTACTGCTACTAAACAGATACCCGACACAGCTATGAATGAGGGAGAGGGTTATTTTAGCTCACAAGTTTAGAGAGTTTCAGTCCAAGATCAGACAGGCCATTGGTGTCCCATGAGGACAGTAGATGGGAGAGGAGGACATGTGGACTGACTCAGGCTTATATAACCACCTCTTCCTCCCGAACTGCCTTCTGAGTGATGGTCCCAGTGACCTAAGGCCCTTTCCCCCTTATGGCCACTGCCTAGACTCCCAATCAAACCTCCCCCTCAATCCATAACCACTAGAATAAATCTACTAACCAGTAACATCGCACTTAGGACCTAAGCCTTTAACACGTGGGTTTTGGTGGCAGACGTGGGGGAGTGTCTGTTATCCAAACTGTTGAGTGAATCAGGTGCTGAAGCTCTGGAAAATACCTAAAAGCCTGTGTGGGGTTGCTTAACCATGGTATCTCTCTCACACACACATGCTGTGAGTAACTAGCGAAGCGAACAGGAATGACTGTGTTTGGATAAGACTGAGCTCCCTGGCATACACTGTGCGTGTGAACGCCCACGGGAGAAGGTAAGCCCCACAGATGCTGGCAGGAGACCAAGTTAGGACATGATTCCCATGGCCTTAGCAGGTGGGATCCCTCTCCTGCCCCCATGGCCTCAGCCCCTGTCGTTTCTGGGCACACGTGTCCAGTTCTACAGCTGCCTGACCTGGCACACCTGTCTGAGTGTTAGCTTGTGGGAGCCCACTTTGCCTGAGCGAGGTAGGCAAGGGGCAGCCCCCAAGAGCAGCCTTCAGCCAGTAACAGGTAGACAGGGCAGCTTGGAGGCATGTCCTCCCCCATCTCCCACCTGGCTGCTGTTACTCTGCCTGTCACTTGTAACTCATTTGTCTTACTTCTTCAGTGTGCCAACAGTACTTCCTGTCTCTTGATGGTGGTCTTCTGGGAAAGCCCATTCTAGACAAACTAAAGATCCAAAATGACACTGAATTCTGAATTACACTGAGGACTATCAGAAATGTGACAAAGCTAGCAGAATGACAGGAATGTCAGTCTTCCTCCAGGGCAGGTGGAGTCGGCCGTGCTGGTGTCCATGAGAACGAGGCTGACTCCTACGGATGCTGAGATGCCCCTTTGCTTAGGCCATGCCCGCCTCCCTCTTTGCCACAGATCCTACTCAGTCTGATACGTCCCAGCAGCTTTGCTGGCAGGAGCCCCCAAGTTGGTGGCAGCCAACGAGTGACATCTCTGTCCCTTGTTCCTGCAGGGATCCGCCCCTACAAGTGTGAGGTCTGCCACAAGGCCTTCACGCAGCGCTGCTCCCTGGAGTCGCACCTGAAGAAGATCCACGGCGTGCAACAGCAGTACGCCTACAAGCAGCGCCGCGACAAGCTCTACGTGTGCGAGGACTGTGGCTACACGGGGCCTACCCAGGAGGACCTGTACCTGCACGTGAACAGTGCCCACCCAGGCAGCGCGTTCCTCAAAAAGACCTCCAAAAAACTGGCAGCCATTTTACAGAGCAAGCTGGCACCCACACACCAGGAGAGCACCAGCTTGAGTGAGGAGGAAGAGAAGAAGTGAGGGGGAGGGGTCGCAGAGCCACCTGCAACACAGACTGGATCTTGCAGAGGCCCTCGTCCCCCACCCCAGCTGCTTTCCCCGAAGGGTGTTGAGCTCAACAGTCGTGTGCCCACCTGTCCTTCGGACACGGGGGCAATAGGATCCGTCCAGAGTGTGAGTTCAAGTCCTGTTGAACACAGTCGTGTGTGGCCGAGTGTGATGTCCACACCCCTTGCTGGCCGAGAGATGCAGGATTTTTGTTGTCGTTTTTGAGTGTGTGAGTGTGGGGATAGGATTCTCACATGGCTGGAGAGGCATTCCTAGAGAGACGATTACTTTATGGTGCCTTGAAATAAATGTTCTTCCACTTGATGTGTGGATTTAAGCAAGGAAAAGCGTTTATCCTGCTGAGTTTACAGAAATTATTTTAATAAATGAAATGCTCTTGTGCAACTTCTCTTTGCACCCACACTGGGTGTTTATTAACTATAGCTATCTATTTCTTATAGGTTTATTTTATTTATTAGTAATTTATTTTTATTGCAAAGTCAAATATACAGAGAGGAAGAGAGACAGAGATGAAGATCTTCCGTCCAATGATTCACTCCCCAAGTGGCCACAACGGCTGGAGCTGCGCCGATCAGGAGCCAGGAGCTTTTTCCAGGTCTCCCACACGGGTGCCGGGTCCCAAAGCTTTGGGCTGTCTTTTACTTTCTCAGGCCACAAGCAAGGAGCTGGATGGGAAGCAGGGCTGCCAGGATTAGAACTGGTGTCCATATGGGATCCTGGCACATGCAGGGGGAGGACTAGAGCCACTAGGCTACCATTCCTGGCCCTATCTTGTTTGGGGTTTTTTTTGTTTGTTATGTTTTGTTTTGTTTACAGCTATTTAGGGGTGGCTTTGAGGAAGCCTTTTTTTTTTAAGATTCATTTATTTGAAAGGCAGAGTAAGAAAAAGAGAGAGAAAGAAAGAGAGATCTTCTGTCCCTTGGGTCACTCCAAAATTATTGCAACAGCCAGAGCTAAGCTAGACCGAACCCAGGAGCCTGGAGTTCTGTCTAGGTCTCCCATGTGGATGTAGGGGCCCAAGCACTTGGGTCGTCTTCTAATGATTTTCTAAGTGCATTAGTGGGAATTAGATTGGAAGCCAAGCAGCCAGGACTCAAACCAGCTGCCATGTGGGGATATTGGCATGTCAGGTGGCAGCTTAATGTGCAGTGCCACGGCACCAGCGTCAAGGAGGCAAGTCTTGACTGTGGGTAGACAACATGCAGGGCTCTAGAAATCTCATAGCAAGTAAAATTCAAAGATAGATGATGTGTTTTGGTGCAAAGCTATTGAAAATCCATTCAGATTTGGCGGGGGCGGGGGCAGGATCTCCAAAGAGTTCATGGAAATGCACATTCTGAGAAAGCTGCTTGGGTTTCCCCACTGCTTCCTTATGATGGCCCTGGGCTTTCTGAGGCCAAGCCTCCCCCGAGAGGCTCCTTGGGCTGGGCTCTGGCACTAGGCGAGCCCACAGTGACCCCTGGAGCAAGAGTGGCTGGTCTGCAGTGTGTGTCCCTCAGGGCCGTGACCGCTGAGTGCCGCTACTCTGCTCTCCTGCCAGATCTGCGCGGAGACAGGGAAGGCTGACGGGTAACCTCAGTCCAAGATAGCACAGGACAGGGTTGATGGGCACCAGTTTGACTATAAGACAGTGCTGTGACCTCCATGAGGGGCAGCAGGAAGGTTCCAGAAGGCTGGGAAGTTGTGTGCAGCTGGCCCCTGCTCAGGTCGTCGTGGGGCAGCCCTGGGAGTCGGTGCAGGTGTTTGCTGAAGTCAGTGGCTGCTTGCGGTTCCTCGGGCCAGCCGTACCCCTTCAGCCTCTCCCTCTGTTGTCCTCTTCCACACTCCCTGTGAGAGCCAAGGCCTCTGTGCCACGACCTGGGTGTCTTAGGTGACATCTCAGCGTGTGCTAAAGTTTCTCTTCCCAGTCAGCGCTTTACTCTCGGAAGAAAGAAGACAAAGCCAGGCAGCGAGTCGGACACCGCTCTCCCTGCCCAGGCAGTCTCTGAAACTATTCACTGTGCACCCCTGGGGGTCTGCAGCCATGTCACCAAGGGTAGTCAAGGTGACCCAGAGCTGGATAACTAGAAGGAGACCAGGGATCCCAAGGCTGCTTCAAACCCCATTCTTTTCTCTCCCTCTCATTTTTTAGCCTTCCTTCAGATAGGAAATAAGAGGCCTTGAGTTCAAGGCAAAGGCAGCTGAGGAGGCGGTTAGGGCCGACCTCGCAGATCCTCTAGCCAGGCTCAGTGCCACCGACCAGCCTCCGGCTCCAAGGGCTTACTGTGACACCACGTGATCTAAATGTCTGTGTTCAGAAATGAGCAGCAGCGAGGATTGAACTTGGGACTTCGAGTGGCACAGGTGCAGCATGCTGGAACCCAGTCAGTGCCGGGGGAGCTGCCTTTGGAGGAGAAATTGCTGACATCATGTCATCTGTCTGTCCTCGCACTTGCCACAGAGGGGAGAGGCTGAGCACACCTTGACCTGCTTCCTGTTGTCTGGGTGACACGGACACGACAGATGCAACACATGGGAGCTTTCCTAGAAAGCAGTGTGGGTGCTGCTGGCCACGGGATTAATTACGAACCAGCAGATGTTCTCCTTTGGGTCGTTTTTTTTTTTTTTTTTCTTTTTAAGATTTATTTTTTATTTGAGAGACAGAGTTACAGAGAGAAGGGGAGAGGCAAGAGAGAGTTCTTCCATCTGTTGGTACCCTCCCCGAATAACCACAATAGCCAGGGCTAATTCTCACAGAGAAGACAGGGCACCTCTCAAGCAGCCCCGGCCCGCCAGCATCTCTAACTTTGGCTACTGTTAGCTTTTCCTGTGACTTTATATCAGCCGGTGCTCTTGCTCCCCAGTGTTGCTTTTTTTTTTTTTTCCTCATCTTCCATTCTCTTAATAATGTATTTGGTATTTCTGTCCCAAATTGCACCAAAAAAATCATTCTCATTTTTCTATACAGCCACCTTGTGTTGTATTGCACACCTTGACTTGGGTTACCAGTCTGATTTTTGGAGTCGTTTCTCAGGCTTTGTGCTTATGGAGAATATTACTGGCGGGTAACGCTCTGCATTATGAGATGTGTCATCGTGCGACCCTATGTATGTGATAAATTTATAGAAATGTGATCGTCAGGGCTAGTGATTTATATGTATTCTAGGGCCGTTGAGATTCTCTGTAGACTGCCTTGATGGCCATTTACTTGTTTATTTGATTGATTTGAAAAGCAGGGAGATGAGAGAGGTTTCCCTGTGCTGGCTCACTCTCCAAATGCCTGCATAAGTCAGGGCGGGGCTGGGCTGAAGTCAGGAGCTCCAAATTCCATTCAGATCTCTACATGAATGATGCAGACTGGAAGGACCTGTGCCATCAGCCTCTGTCAGCAGAGCGTGCAGTGGCAGGAAGCTGGATCGGAAGCGGAGGAATCAGGATTGGCACGCAGGCGCTCCGCGGAATGCAGGCACCTCGAGCATCGAGCTAACCTCTGAGCCAAACTTCCACCCCTGAACACCGGTTTTTTTTTACACTGGTTTATTGGTGTTTTTGTTTTGTTTTGGTTTTGCCTAACTTGTAGGGGGAAAAAAAAGATACGTGAAGAATTTTCTTCCTTTGTGATGTAGGCTGCTGGGTTTTGTTGTGGTGATAGATAAGACCCAAGAACCGGGCACAGAGGTCGAGCCCAGTTTGCAGGATGTGATGTCCTCCCCTGGGTGCCAACATTCTATTACTGTGAGTTTGGAGTTTGGTCAATCTGATAGCAGAGGCTTTTTTTTTTTTGTCAGTGTCATTTTACATTTTTCTTACGCGTGAGCGAAAGGGGCTGGCGTCAGTGTCATATGACTGAGTACTTGTCATGGCGTCTTCTGTGTCCTGCATGGATGCCCCGCCTTCTTCATCTTCCGCCTGACTCCGGGGAGAATTCAGGGGGCTTTTGTTCCCATGCTTGTCTATCTCAGGATTTCAATTGCCAATTTTCCTTCCAGATTCTCAAATAGCCTTTCATTTTGTTCCTGCCAGGGTTTTTGTTTGTTTGTTTGTTTTGTTTTGTTGTCTTTGTTGTCCAATCAAAAGTTTCTGTTTCTTGCGGGGCTTGACTGACTCCGTGACTCTTATAACCAGTGGAGACTCGGGCACGGGCTGGGAATACCATCCTGCTGCAAGGGTGCCCTGCTTTGTCTAAGATTTTTATGGCTTCATTTTATCACGCAGAAATCTTTGATCCGCTTGGACTATTTCCTGGTGTCTAGTGGGAGGTATGGATCCAACTTTATCGTTTTCCCAGATGGCTGACGGGAGATATTTTTTAACAGGGAGCTGGTCCAAAGCACACCAGAGAACATTTTCTGCAGGGAAAGGTCGCATGCCTTAACAGAAGTTGCTGCGAATTATAGCACGTAGCAGTTTGCTTGAATTAGCCAAGATGCGTGTGTTCCACACATATTTTTAAAAAGTGCCCACTATGTCTCAGGTTCCTTTCCAGATACCAAGGCTGAAAAAAAAAAAAAAGAAAAAAAAGAAACAAACAGTTCCTGTCCTCAAGGAGTGCACACTTGCTGGAAGGGGAGACAGACAGACAGGCCCTAAGCTGGTACCGACGCGTGAGTGTTCACACACAGCCCTGGAGACTGAGGGGTCTCCGGAATGGAGCGGTTCATGGCTGTCACGGGTGCTGGCCCAAGGACAGCTAGGCCCTGGGACACAACTCTGCACAGCAAAGTGGGACATCTGGTGGGAAAAACATCAGCTCGGGCTGAAAGTGTGTGTGTGTTTGTTTTTTTTTTTAATTTCTGGATTTTTCCAAAATTTTATTTTCACTTTAAGGGCAGAGTTATAGAAGGGAGAGACTGAGAAAGATTTTCCCTCTGCCAGGTAACTCCTCATGTGGCCGCAATATCTGAAGGTGAGCCGATCCCAGGGCCAGGAGCTTCTCTTGGGTCTCCCACATGGATGCAGAGGCCCAAAGGCTT